TCCCTTCCAACTCTGTTCATTTGTAATCTGTAGATGAGGGGAAAGAAGGGTACCCATCAAATTTGCACACAACACCAAGCTGGCGGGGAATTGGTAACTCTTTAGAACAGGGGTGTGTCAAGCTTGCATCGTCACAGCATCGTCACGTGACGTATTGGGACCTTTTCCTCCTTCGCTAAACTGGGTGGGGGTGGGGCCAGCATGTGACACTTCTGGCCCGTGGGCCACACATTTGACACCCCGGCTTTAGAAGAAGGACTTTGACAGAATTGAACCCTGAGCCCTATCCAACAAAATGCAATTCCGCTGTGAGAAAAGTAAGATCCTACACAGAGACAAGGGAAACCAAACGCCCACTAACTATAACGCAGGCGGTGCCTGACTCAACATTAGCGACTCTGGGGGGGACCTAGGAGTCATAGTGGACAATCGCTTAAACAGGTGCTGCACCTGCCAAAAACGCTCATCCCGCCCTGGGTTGCAGCAACGGAGGGATAGTTTCAAGATCCGAAGGAGGGATACATTGCACCGGTGAGGCCATATTTGGACCCCTGCATCTAATGCTGCTCACCGTGATACAAAAAAGATGTGGAGACCCTAGAGAGAGTGCAGAAAAGAGCAACAAAGAATATAAGGGAGGCCGCCAAGTATGCAAGTAGGTCTAGTCCAACCAAGAGTAGGACCAGCGGTGATATGATAGCGGTCTTTTTGAGGGTTTTTTCACAGAGAAGAGGGAGGGGTTGACAAGAAGCAACAGAGGGATGAGGGATCCAGACTAGAATGAAGGAGAAATTTCCTGAGAACGATTAATCAGTGGAATAGAAGTGGCCTCCGGAAGTTGTGGTGCTCCATCCCTGGAGGTTTTCAAGAAGAGACCGGGCAGCCACTTGTGTCCGGAAGGGTAGAGGCCCTCCTGCTTAAGCCAGGGGCTGGACTCCAAGGTCCCTTCCAAGCCCCTTATTCTGTGTTCTGGATCAGGGCAGGCATTACTTCGGGGTCACCCCAAGAGAAGCTGAGAAGGCTTCCTTAGGGGTCCTGCTGTAAAGGGATTGCAAAGAATCCTATACCATCAAAGGATTTGATTGACTAACCATGGCCTAAGTTCCTGCAACATGGATGAATGAGAAACTTGCCACAAGGGCTGGCTCCACAGAAACCACAGCCAGCCACACACGGTTGTCTGTTGCACCAACCGGTGTTCTCTTTCCCGCTTCAACCGTTCTCCGCTAGTGAGTGAAAGACCGCAAGTGGACAGGAAGGGCAGCTGGGGGTGGGGGTGGGGGCTGCTTGGAGAACTCCTGGCCCCAGCCACCTGGCCCTGGGTGACCCTGAGCCGGTCACTCTCTCTCAGCTCTCGGAAGAAGGCAAGCCACTCTGGACATCTCGCCAAAAAACCCTGCAGGGGCTTTTCCAGGCAATTGTCACAAATCACCGCTGATTCAAAGACCCGAGGTCCACCTGTATTGACCCAGGAAGCTTTGCCCAGCTCCTTTGCACCCAGCAGACACGCACCCACCCTGCACTGCCCCCTCCTCCCAGGCTTGGAGCTTGTGGGGGGGGGGGTAAATGGCTTGCACCACTCCCACTCTAGAGGGACTGCAAGTCGGCATTAGGCAGACTTGTCGGAGGTCCTGGGCACTTTCTGTCAGACAACCAGCCGAGCTCTGTTAAGACTACACATGATTTTTGGGGAGGTGGGGTGAGGGTGGGAAGAACTGAGAAAAAGAAAGTCCATTCTTCACATGTTTTATCCTTCCAGCCCTCTAACCAACTTTGTTGCTCTTCTCTGCCCTCTTTCAAGAATCTCAACATGTTTTTATACGAATGATGCAGGAAAACGGAGTCTTCTTGTGACTCAATTCAATTCTCCGTTCTTCACAGTTACATGCAAAAAATTGTTTTCTGTGCAAGAGGGCCACCTCTTCCTTTTTTGATCTGATTACTGCCTTTAAAAAAAAGTTGCAATAATCTCACCCAGATAGGCATCTTGTAACAGCGTGAGAAAGATAAACTGCCTTATCTTTATTCAGTTTGCCCGCTGCACACTGAAAGCCATCAAGAATTCTCAGTACATAAGAAATTCTTTCGGTTAGTTTTTATTGTTTTTTTTTAATTTATTTTAAATATGGTTTTACATTGTGTAAGTCACCTTGAGTCACCATGGGCAAATAGGTGGCAATATAAATTCAATAAATAAATAGCTTGGGAGGAAAAAAGTCAGTTTCCTCCTAAGTGATCAGGAAACCAGTGATATTTGGACGATGTTTTTCTGCCAGGGCAGATTCTTAAACCTGGTGTCACCCGGTACCATCTTGGCACCTGGTTCCAATTTTGCACTCCAGCCCCCAAACTCTACCTGGTCAGTGCCTGGCCAGTGGCCCTTCAAGTCCCTGCCTTCAGGTGCTGCTACTAAATGCTAAACTGCCCTGTGATAAGGCCACCCTCACCTGTGACTTGATCAGAGTTTAGTAGTGTTGTCCTGTGCCTGCTCCAATTTTTGAATCTGGGTTTCCCACTGACTTTGCTTTTCAGAAGGTCACAAAAGGGGATCATGTGATCCCAGGACACTGCAACCATCATAAACACATGCCAGTTGCCAAGTGTCCGGATTTTTGTAAGGCAAGGATTATCCGCCGTGTGCCTGCTTACTCCCTTGTAACTCTTCCTCTCCCAAGAGTGCAAATACAAACATTGATTTCCCTTTGCTAATTAGCCCAACATCAAGGCGAGACCCCCAAAGGGTGGGGGTGGGGGAGGGGGTGGCTGCACGATTTGCCCCTTTCCCAGCTTCCCGAGTTGAGCTTCCTCCTCAACCGCTCCCTGCTGTCTGGGCTCACCTCCTTCGGATGCTGCAAGCAAAGGAAAGCTGGGGCACAACCACAGTCACACAATTGTTCACTTTGCTTAACAGCTGAGTTGCCAGTCTTTGCTGTGGATGCTAAATGAGAACTGCGACAGATATTATCTGTCTCCCTTCTTCTTTTCTAATCTGGTATGCCAAAAATTTCCCTGGTTTGCTTCATATTCTCAAAACGTCTTCAGTCAGCAAAGTGTATCTTCTCTTGTAGTTCTTCCATTCAGTTGTCTTTTGGCTTTTTGCAATTTGTTTGTCCTTTTTAGATTAATTGTATTGCACAATTTTGGTCTGGTTCTCAACCATTTCTTTTTTAGGAAAGGATGGTGAAAGAAACTGATTATCAGGATAGGATAGGGAATAAAATAAGAGAATAAAATAAGGAATGAGAGTAGAGTAACTGTAACAGAACAGAACAAAACAGAACAGAACAGGAATCTCAGCATCCTTTTCGTATTGTGGCAACCAGAACTGGATGCAATTATTCCAAGTGTGGCCTTATTCATGCAGTATACAGCAGCAGTGCCATCACTCCCCATGATGCAGCCTAGAATTGCGTTGGCTTTTTTGGAAACTGCAGCACAAGGCTGGCTCATACTTAAGAGGTAGTCCAATAGGATACTTAGAACCCAGGGATGGGATTCAATTTTTTTACTACCGGTTCTGTGGGCGGTGCTTGGTGGGCCTGGCAGGGGAAGGAGACTGTAAAATCTCCAGTCAGAGGTGGGATTTGCTGGTACTCCGAACTACTCAACATTTCCACCACCGGTTCTCCAGAACTGGTCAGAACCTGCTGAATCCCACCTCTGGCCTGAACCCTTTTGGTTACTACCGCTGAGCCAGGTCAACCAATTCTGTACTTATGCGTCTGTTTTTTCCTGCGTAAGTGCAGGACTTTATTTTTCTCGCCACTGAATTGCAGCCTGTTGGACAGGGCCCAATGCTCAGGCCGGTCAAGATTCTTCTGAATCTTATCTTACCTTACAAAGTATTGGCAATTCCCTCGGTGTCATCTGCAAATTTGCCTGTCGATGGCCTTTGACAAAGTCCCTCACCTCCGACTCCCACCTCATCCCAATTCAAACCTTTCAGCCACTTTGTGGACTGGCTGGCAAAAGGCTCTGCATTTAAATTGAACGTGTTAATTGCGAAGAGGCTCTGACTTCCTAAATTCTGGCTACTGTAGACTAACAGCTTCTTGTCCCTCCTTCACCCCACAAAGGCAGCAGGCAGGCCAGCTCCCTGCAGCTGCACCTTGTTCTGGAGTCCAGTTCCCAAGAAAGTTGCCAAGAAAGTTCTATCAATCACCGTCCCGCCCCCCCCCCCACCCGACCCCATGATTTTATTTTATTATATGCAAAAGGAGAAGAGAAAGCAAAGACACTGAACAAAGAGTATTCTTACAATATATACTCAACTGTACCATTAGAACATGATTACTAACCACGTTATAAAAAAGATGTGGAGACTCTCGAAAGAGTGCAGAGAAGAGCAACCAGGAGGATTAGGGGACTGGAGGCTAAGACATACGATGAACAGGAACTGGGCCTGGCTAGTCTAGGGAAGAGAAGAACCAGGGGAGACATGATAGCGGTCTTCCAATATTTGAGGGGCTGCCATAGAGAGGAGGAAGGGGTCAAGTTATTTTCCAAGGCACCCGAAGGCCAGACAAGGAATAATGGATGGAAACTCTAACAAGGAGAGATTCAACCTGGAAATAAGGAGACATTTTCTGACAGTGGGAACCATCAACCCACGGAACAGAAGTTGCCTTCAGAAGTTGTGGGAGCTTCACTCACTGGAAGCTTTCAAGAAGAGACTGGACTTGTCAGAAATGGAGAAGGGTCTCCCACTTGGGGGTGGGTGGGTTTGGACTAGATGACCTATAAGGTCCCTTCCAACTCTGATTACCTGTTACCTGTGTCATGTAGGTGTCTTTCACAACCATTCTACTTTTCTGTTAACCAACCCCCCCCCCCCACACACACACTTTTTCCCTGAAAGGAGGAGCATCCAAAAAGCAACGGATGAAACATTTATTTTATTTATTTTATAAAGGCAAGCGATGCATCGAGGCCAACGTAGCCTTCCATTGATCGTCACGGACCGGCTTTGCCAACGCCGCGCTTCCCGTTTCTCGGCAGCCTCAGACGGAGAGAGGACGCATCGGCCGCGCCTCCCCGCCCGAGCCGCCGTCCCGGAGCGGCCCTCCCAAAGCGGCGGGGGCGCCGGGCGGCTCCTGGGTTCGGCCTTGGCCGCGGACGGGAAGCCAGCCGGGCGGAGGCCTCAAGCGGGTGCCGGGAGGCGGCGGCGGCGGCGGCCAGTCGGAGGGCAGGGGGGCCGCCCCTTCGCCCGCCCCGCCGAGGGTGCAGTAGTCGCCGGGCGGGCGCTCGGGCTCCAGCGGCGCTGCGCGGAGCTCTTCGCCCGGCGGGGAGGCGCGGCGCTTGGCTGGCCCCGATCCGGCGCAGGTGGGCGGCTGCAGGAAGGAGAGCCGAGAAACCGCCTCCGCCTCCGGCTCTTCCTCCGGGGCCAGCCCGGCCCAGCCCTGCGGGGGAGCGCAGCCGCGTCAGCCGGGCTCGCCGAGGCCCCGGGCAGGGCGGGGGGGCGGGCGGCGGCTGCGGGCTCCTCTGCCCGGCGCTGGAGCGGGTGGGGTGGGGGCGGAAGGCCGGAGCCGGGGAGCCCGGCCGTTACCTTGAAGTCCCCGCGGTGAGCGAGGTAGAGAGGCTGGAAGAAGGCGGCCGGCGTGGGGATGCTGGCCTCGCAGCTGCTCCGCGCCCTGTGGCCGAGGAAAGGCGGTTGGTCCTGCCGCTCGCCTCCCGCGCTCCCCCCAGCTCGCAGGGGGCGCCCAGCACGGCTGCCCCGAGCCCCCCCCAGCCCTCCCCTCCCCCAGCCCCCCGGGGCTTCCCCGCCGCTTCTGCCACAACAGCCCCCAGGGAAGCCCAGGCGCCCCCCCCCCCCCCCCCCCGCGTGGCCCTGGAGGGCTGCTGGCCTTGGTCTCTGGGCCCTGCGGGAAGGCAGGCGCCCCCCTTGTGGCAGCTGGAGGGAGGGGAGGAGCAAAAGGGGCAGGGACCCCAGGTGCCAACTCCCAGGGGCAAAGGCACTTTGCAGAGCCGCCATGAGAGCGGAAGGAGGCAACGTACCTCTTGAAGAGGGCGAAGGCCAGCGCCAGCAGGAGCAGGAGGGTGCCAAGGCAGAGCAGGAAGTAGGTGGGCGCATCAAGCTGCTGCCAGTCACCTGGGGTGGGAAAGAGGAGCGCCTGAGCCCAAGCAGGACTGCCCTGGCCAGGCGGGAAGCATCGCAGAGGGCCTGCGGAAGGCCCCCACCCGGCCTGGCTCTTGCCTCTGGACCCAGTGGGGCACCAGGGAAGCGAAAGTTGCTGGCTCGCGTGGCCTGAGGGGTGAACTGCCAGCCTGGGGGCCACAACCGGCTGTCCCATTTCAGTTGTTGCCAAAGGCAAGAGAAAGAGGGGCTCCTCCCAAGGCTTGGCTTGAGTCCTGGTCTACGTCAACTCGGCTAGGTAGGCCCAGCCAAGAAATCAACCCCGCAGGAAGGTTAGAATTGCCTGCCTCGGGATTGGCTGGGACCCCCGTCTCATGCAGAGGAGGGAGGCAGGGAGGGAGCAGGCTTGTTCCGTCCTGGGTGGAAGGTGCAGGGAAGCAGATACAGGTGAGCTGCCTATCGGGAGGAATTTCAGTGGAATAGGAGGGATCTCCCTGGAATTCCCCCAACGAAGGCTGGGGGCAGCCTGTCCAAATATTGTAGAAGATCCACCGGTTTAGACAGATGAGATGCTCACTGAGGTACCTTTCAACCCCATGATAACCAAAACCTCTAGAGCAGAATTCTGGGAGTTGAAGTCCACAAGTCTTAAAGTTGCCTAGTTTGGGGACCCCTGTGCTAGAGGTAGACCTCATTTAGCAACTGCCTTCTTTAGTGGCTTCGCAGTTACAGCGGGGGTGAAAACGTAGCATTACGACCAAACCTCAGTTTTACGGGTCTGAAATAAGAGTCATAAGCACATTTATGGTTTTGCATAGTGGCAATTGTGTTGAACAACCAAGTTGCTGGTCCTAATTTTTGGTTGCTAAACAAGAATTACCTGTAGAAACAACTCTAACAAAATTCTGCAAAATGGCTTTGTAATGTGGTCCCAAAACAGGTACCGGGGAAATTGGCATCAGTCCAGCATCAAGACAGTGTCGCATCCTGGAGGCCAACCTGGCTGAGCTGTCCAAGTGACACATGGACTCCATGGACTCCAGTGGCTCCTGTAGTGATGATTCTCCTCCGGTGTTTTGCAGCGCATTCTTGCAATATAATCTCTGTTGCTCTTGAACTCAAAGCCTTCTATGTGCACCCAGGTTTCCGAGTTGATGAAGACTCTTCTCTGTGCTTCCTAGGATGAGGGAGGGAGGGAAGGAAACTACCTGTCAGATCCATGCAGGGGTGGGATTCAAAATTTTTAACAACCTGTTCTGTGGGCATGGCTTGGTGATCATGTGACTGGGTGGACATGGCTTGGTGGTCATGTTATTGGCTGGGCGTGGCCAACTCAACATCACTCACATTGAGGCACGCATCTCCTCGCCTGGCCTCTCATGACTGTGGGGATGCTGTAACAGTCGTAAGTGTGAAAAACGGTCATGTCACTTTTTTCAGTGCCATTGTAACTTTGAAGGGTCACTCCACACAAGCAAAGTACCAGCAAAGGAGGCGGAAAAAACTCCAGAGAAGTTCCAGAGACAGGAAGTCTAGTCCTGCCAAGAATGTAATAAGGATTAACGGAGAGGCAGTTTCTGTAAGAAACACCAGAATGTTTCCTTCCTGCCTTCCTTACAGGATTAGGCCAGTAATTTCTTCTAACAACCGGTTTTAGCAAATGGGTGCAAACTGGTAGAATCCCACCCCTGGATCTGTGTATCTGCCATTCTTCAATGGAAGAAGAAGGGGGGAGTTGGTACAAGTAATCCCTTTTGATGTAACCTGAATATCTTAAGTCTTGTATTGAATCTGTATAACCTGCACATGATATACAACTGGAGACTGGAGCCCAGATGCCTGGAAACTTGTCACCTCTTGGAGAGAAAGCAAAAGGAGGAGGGGCCATAAAAAGTCCGGTTCCAAAAGAAACTTCCCGGGAAACTTTCCTCAACTATGGTTCCAGAAAAAAAGGGGGAATTAACATGTTGTTGCTTCTCTGTGTTGACGAAATCCACACCGGACTGCAGGCCTGGAGGCATATTAGACTCTCCTTTGAACATCGCCTGGATATCTTCCTTTTCAATAAAGAATTCCTTTTGAAGTACCCAGCTTTCAGAAGTTCATTTTTACCATCTGGAGAGGGGAGAATCTGGGCCTTACACTATCAAGTACCTGGTGAATGAAATCACACACACACCCTGCCTGCCCTCAAGAGCAGAGAAAGCGGTCGAGCTGCACAGGACCTATTGAGAAACCATCTCTCCCCCACATACACCCCACCACACACACACAGAGAGAGTTGTAGTCTTGACTCACAACAACTGCCTGGCTAAATCCCTGTATCCCTTGGCATCATTTAAACCCCTTGGCATCCTTTCCAGAAGTGAGCTGCCCTTGCTTTCTTCCTGGTGTTGAGGGAGGGGCTGGCTCAACATCACCCAGCTTTGGGGCCTCCTCAGGCAGGTTTCTGCACTCTCAGTCCCGCCCCTGAGGACTACTTGGCTCTCTGCCATCAATGTGTCCTGGGCTATAATTGCTGTCACTGTGGACAAGATGGCCGAGGATGGCCAAGTTGCATTACAGTCCCAACCCGTTTCGGAAGTGTTCCGTTGGGAAAGCTGCAGGCACTGCAAGACGGTGACTTGGTTTTTAGGGATCCTGGAGGGCAGACCAAGTGAACCCTGAGCCCTCCGGCCATGGGCTCCGGCCACTTGCCAATGGATGCAAATCTGCCTCTGCTGAGTCGCCTAGCCCTGACCTGAGTCGCCTAGCCTAAACCTTCCTCCTGGTCCTTATCACCTGAGGGGGCAGGTGGTGGCTTTGGGAGCACCGGGGTCCTAGAGGGCTGCGCCCCAGCTCCCCTCCTTCCCTTGGCTTCTCCTACCTCCCAGGGTTCTTGAACAGCCTTGAATGCCAGCTCCCACTGCCAGACCTCCAAGATCTCCTCATAGGCCTTTGGCCTCCTCCAGCAGAGACGGCACGCAGTGTCACTGCACTTGCTCTGCAGGTCGAAGGGTGGATCACACTGAACTGGGAAGAGAAGGCGGGCAGGGAGAAGCCATTATGGAACGCAAAGGTTCGCGTTGCTGAGCTCCACCAGAGACCCCCAAGGAGCCAGCAGCCTTCCCGAGGACCCCAGGCGAACAGGGCTCTCATCCTCCTCCCCCTCCGGTTCACATTCACTCACTGTGTAGTCTGGGCTTGTACTTCACAAAGACCACCTCGGTGTGGTTCTCTCCCAAGGAGCTGGTGTGCAGAACCACCGTGTACTCATCGTTTTCTGTGAACTCGCCTTCCTCGCTGTACACGGAGCAGTTGAAAGGACCCGGGGTGCCAGGGGAGGCAGACAGAGGGCAGATGAGGTCGCCAGAGAGTCCGAGGGTGCTGGAAGAAGGAAGGCCATCACTGCTTGAGCCTGCGCCCTGCCCCTGCTGCCTGGTAGCCCCTCCCCAGGCCTTCAGGCCAACCCCATCCTGCTCCCCCCTGCAATGGACGACAGTCCAGGATTTGGCCGGGAAAGCGGCCTCTGTGCTCGATGTCTCCGACGTCCGGATGCCCCCTGTATGCTGAATACGTGGTTGTGAAAAAGCAAAAAGGGAGCAAAGGAAACTTTTGGCTGTTTCTAGAGAAACACAGTTTCCCAAACACAAAAGCCAACTGTTCCATTTATTTTGCCTGGGTCAGATCCCACCTTCAGCCTCAGGTCCAGGTGTGGGCAGCACACTTTTGCCACGTTTGCCAAGACCCTGAAAGGGGGAGGCAGCCCCAAGGCCGCCTCTCTTCGGACTCATCCAGCCTGACTACGTGGCTGGGACTGCACATAAAGCAGACACCCCCAGCGATAATGGGGGGGGCCCTCCTCCCCATTTTCTCCCTCTGGGTGGCTTGTGGGGGTGAGGCCCATGTGCTCTCAAAGGAAGGTTTTCTTCAGAAAGGGCGGCATTTGCAGATCGCTTCTCACTTTAGGCTGAGGAGGAGGGGAAAGAGTTCTCTGGATGAAACAGGTCGACAGTCCCCCAAATGGTTTCGGATTTATAGAACTGAACGTTGGCCAAAGAGGTCACATCGATCAAGAGGGAAGGATGGACATTGTAGTCCGTGCTGCTTGGAGGCTCCCCTATTGACCCCCCCCCCAGAAATCGACCCTGCTTCCTCGCTCTGCTCACAAGCCCCAGAAGCCCCCATGCTGTAATGGACGTTGGAGAGGAAAAGGGGGGGGTTTCTTCCCCTCGATTGGCCATGCTGCTTCTTGGGAAGGACATGATCTGGGAAATGGGCGCAGCTCCCCTGCAGGAGGGCCCTTCCCAACTTTCCAACAGGCACTCGTCCAACTAAGGGATGGGGGGGGTGCAACTTGGAGTGGAGGGACAGAGCCAGCCCCTGGGTAGGATGGGGGCGTTTTTTTTGAAGGGAGGTGCCTGTGCTTCTGCTGGGACAGCAGGGCACCTGGCAGGTAGTCTGGGCTGGGATGCGGGGAGGACCATTTGCCAGAGGCAGCTGCCATTTTCTCCAGGGCCCTGAGAAAGCCAGGGAGATGGGCTGGAATGAGTGGGTGCATTTTCTTCTACTGGCAAATCCACATTAGACCAACACAACGAAATGACCACCCTGCTGTTGTCCAAGTGGACAAACCCTGGATTTTACTCAGAGAAATTGAGGTAGGACAGAGTTCCCTCCAAGGCCTGATTGCGGTGCCATCGGCAGTCCACTTTGCGTCCCTGAAAACCGTAATTGTTGAGACACTGCACCCGGCTGGCAGCTTCTGCTGAGAGAGCGAGAGAAAAGCAACTGAGGATTACAATTCTCCCCAACCCCCTGCCCGGTCTTGTCCCCCACACAGCCCTTGACGCCCCCAAAGGCTTCTTGCCAGTAGTGGTATTCAAATCTTTTTACTACCAGTTCTGTGGGCGTGGCTTGTGGGCGTGGTGTGGCTTGGTGGGCGTGGCTTGGTGGGCATGGCAGGGGAAGGATACTGTAAAATCCCCCTTCTCTCCCCACTAGCCTGCTTTCCAGCTCTGTTCTCCTGTGCAGGGCAACCAAAGGAGACCCAGCCAATCAGATGGGCCTCAATGAGAGGCAGAGAAGAGATGGGCTTGGCGGGGCCAGTCAGAGGTGGGATTGGCCGGTTCTCCCAACTACTCACAATTTCCGCTACTGATTCTCCAGAACTGGTCAGAACTGGCTGAATCCCACCTCTGCTTCTTGCTTAGTGATACCATCCCTGGGCTACCAAAATCCAGAGACCCCTTAGAGCAGGGGTGTCCAACCTTGGCAACTTTAAGACTTGTGGACTTCAACTCCCAGAAAAAGCTGGCTGAGGAATTCTGGGAGTTGAAGTCCACAAGTCTTAAAGTTGCCAAGGTTGGACACCCCTGCCTTAGAGGAAAGCAAAGAAGATTGGTTTATATCCCTTTGCTGCCCTCTAGCGGCTACCTGAGGTATGCAAAAAAGACAAGGAATTTCTCTTCCTTGGACCCTGGACCAACAATGGGCTTCTTGTTTGGAATCATATCTAAAACCAGTAGCCACCCAGAGAAGACTGTGGCAACTTATCATGACCCGGAAAATGAGACAGCTAAGGGGCTTCTGAACAGAGTGGATTCTGGAAGTGGGTGGTGGGCCTTTCCAGGCCTTGTTTTATTCCAGCACAGCTGCTCTGGTCACCCTCTGCAACGCAAGGACCTCTACGCTCCTCAGGAGCTACAGAAGTGCAGTGCCCACTTTTACGCCTAGCTTTTCTCCAAGTTGGTGGTTGGGGAGGTAGAAATATTCCCACACCTGTACCTTGAGCCTGCTCAGGCTTTGAAGATTTGGATACCAATCTCCACTGGCTCGTTATCAGTTTGGGGGCACAGGTCCCATTATAAGCAGGTGCTCTTGCTGCTACCTCATACCTGTTTGCTCCATTGCCAAGAGGAGGAAGAACTGAGCCCAGAGCATCAAGCCGGCAGCTGTCCCACAGGAGGCCTTTCCCATGTTCTCTGGAGGACTGGAATGCAAGGTGGCTGCACACAGACATGGCACGGACTTAGCTGGGAAGGGATTCTCAGTGGGGGAGCTCACTCATCCCCAAACCAAGTCTTGAATCCCCCTGCTGTGGATTCTGCGGACAGACGCCTGGGTAGATGGAGCCAACCAGGCAGTTCCATCGGAAGGAAGGAAGGAAGGAAGGAAGGAAGGAAGGAAGGAAGGAAGGAAGGAAGGAAGGAAGGAAAAGGGAAGCAGGACCACCACTTCTGGGATTGGGACACAACCCTCTGTAAGTTCTCCATGAAAACCAGTTGGAAGCAGAGGTGTGCCTTTTAACCAAGTCCGAGAGGGGTGGTGGGAGCCAAGGAGCAGCATTTCTTTCTGTTGCCTGCCCAGAGTAGTCACTGGGAGAAATAAGGACGCTTCCTTACCCTCAGCTCTTCTGTCACTGCTCAGGAAGGTGCAGATATTCTTCTGAATTTTTTTTCGCTGAAAGGAAGATGCCCTTTGCCCAACAGACAGAAGATGGTCTCCAAAGACACTGAGCTCTTGCGCCACATTAATATCCTGCCTGATTTCAGCCTCGGCAAGCGACAGAAACCGTCTCTTGGATTGGGGAACTGATCTGGAGGGCCATCAGATAAGTGTGGACATGTGACAAGCCCCAACAAGATTAGAGGGCTGGTGATCAACGATTTACAGCTTACACTGACAATGATCTTAAAGCAGAGTTCCCCTCCAAAATGGACACATGGGGGTCATTTGTAGCCCTTCAGGCCCTTTTACAGGGTGGAGACTCCCAGGCTCAAGTTTATGCAATACTAGATTAGAAAAACACAATTAATGCATGCACAGAACACGTTACGTTTCCTAGGCAGATTATATTACAACTAAGGGCAATGGCCTGGTCTGGACAGCTTGGCAAGACTATGCCTGTTTTCTCTTAACAGACCAAATGGAAACTGCCTTGTCCAATTTTTCCCTAATGTAGAACGTGACTCTATCCTGAGTGCTGTGCCTCTAAATTATAGTGATGTAATAGGCTGTCATTCACGCTTTTGCCACTTCTCCTATGGATTATTGCAATGTGTTCTACCCAGGGCTGCCCTTGAAGAATATTCAGAGGCTTCAACTAGTTCAAAATGCAGCTGTGTGTGCAGTTATTTGTGTCCACAATTTTTTAAAGTTTTTTTTTATTTTTTAAACATACACAAAGCACAAACAAACAAAAAAAACCATAAAGCCATCTTTCAGTTACATACAGTGTGTCAGTTGGTACTAGTCTCTTGTGCATTCTCTGCAGTCATTCCCTTCTAATTACAATTTAATCCTCATATTATATATAAGTTGTATTTATTTCTAGTATTATCATTATTGTTTATTAGACTGTTACTGTCATTTCATCACTTTATGTGAGTAAATCCCCATTTTAACTTAGCCTATAACATTCATTTATATCATTCATTTCATCATCTCCCATCTATTCAATATTTTATCCTTACAATAATTTATCTCTAACAATTCTATTATACTTATATTATAGAGTATTATAAAATATTTCATTTCCCTGTTTTATTATCTAACCATTGGCAAAACAAGTCCCATATTTTATAAAATTGTTTTTCTTGCTCTGATTTCAAATGTCAATTTACTCATTTCTGCGCAGTCCATTATTTTCTTGATAACTTCATCCTCCGTAGTTTTCTCATTTTTCCAGTTTTTAGCAAATACAACTCTAGCCGCTGTTAATACATTTATAATCAAATATATCATTTCTCTACTGTATATTTCAGGTATAATGCCCAATAAAAATATCTCTGGCTTTAAATCTATATGTTTTTTGTCATTTTTTCCAACCATGTGTGGATTTTAGTCCAATCTTTTAGCCTCTGCACATGTCCACTACGTATGATAGTACGATCCAGGTATCTGATGTGTGCGTCCACAATTTTGTGCATATTGCACCTTGGCTCCAGGAGTGCATCAGCAGCCAGACTGCTTCCAGGTTCAAGGTTCTAGCAATGACCTACAAAGACTCCCCTCCCCCATGGCTGAGGGCTGGGTGACTTGAGGCCTCTCCCCAATTGCCTCTCCCCTTTTCATCAGGGCTGGCAGGAGGGGCCTATCAGCCAAGGGATCTTGTCTGGCAAGGCCAAGAAGGTTCCTTGGTGCTCTCTGAGATTGGTTTTCTTGCAGAGGGTTCCTTACCCAAATTGGGTAACATCATCAGAGCTAGTAAGGAATGAGGTTTACTCTCCGTTTATATTCTACTGTCTTGCCCTGACATTCCTTACTTGCACTGATGTTGCCTAGTTTGGCTAATGAAACATCTGCAAGAAAACCACCAAACTCAGACAGCACCAAGGACCCCATAGTTCAAGCTATGAAAGTTCTCCTTTATTGGGACTTAATTGGGAAGAGAACTTTCTCTGCCTTGTGGAAAACCATCATCCTGCCGGAGGACAGACTGGCATCATTCTCTAGCCTTTCAAAAGATCCTTAAAACAGCCTTTTTGCCAGCAAGCATGGAGACCTAGGAAGGTGGCAACACCAGAGCATCTGTTGTGCTAATTTTTCCCCCATGTTAACAGCCAGTGTGATTTTTGGCGGCTTTTGAATGTGGAATCAGAAAAGCACCAGACTTCTTAGTCTAAAGCAGAGGTCCCCAAACTTGGCAACTTTAAGACTTGTGGACTTCAACTCCCAGAATTCTCCAGCCAGCAATGCTGAGAGTTTATTTATTGTTTATTTATTATTTGATTTGTCAATCACTTACAAGATAATAGGTATAGAGTAAGAATACAGGAAAAAGGTACGAATAAATGGGGACAATAGGACAGGGATGGTAGGCACGATGGTGCACTTATGCACATCCCTTATGGACCTCTTAGGAATGGTGTGAGGTCAATATTGGATAGTCTGAGGGTAAAGGAGTGGGCGTTAGAGGATGTAACAACAGAGTCAGGTAGTGCATTCCAGGCATTGACCACTCTGTTGCTGAAGTCGTACTTTCTGCAATCAAGATTGGAGCGGTTTACATTGAGTTTGTATCTGTTGTGTGCTCTTGTATTGTTGCGGTTGAAACTGAAGTAGTCATTGACTAGTAGGACATTGTAGCAGATAATTTTGTGTACTACGCTTAAGTCCATCCGGCAGCGGCGTAGTTCGAGATTGTCCAAGCCCAAAATTTCAAGCCTGGTGGTATAGGATACTTTGCTGCAAGCAGAGGAGGGTAGTACTCTTCTGGTGAAATACTTCTGGACTCGCTCAGTTGTAATTAATGTCCAATATACAGTGTGGATTCCAGACAGTACTGGTCTAGCAAGCTTTTGTATGCCTTAGTTAGCAATTCGATATTTCTGGAGAAGCTTCATAAGATTAGATTTACAACTCTTAATGCCTTTTTGGCAATGCTGTTACATCTGGCACTTAGATCATTAGATATGAGTGCTCCAAGGTCCTTGATAGAATGAGGGTCATCAACGTGGTCATATCCACCTAGCTTGTATTTGGTATACTGACTTTTTTTGCCAATGTGTAGGACAGAGCATTTGTTGGTCGAGATTTGGAGTTGCCAACTGTTTGACACATAATCAAGGTCGCTTTGAAGGATGGTAGCATTGTCGGTGGTGTTGAATAGTGGAAGTCTTACAAGTGGCCAGGTTTGGGGACCCCTGGCCTAAAGGCTTCATACTGTGCCGCTTTGACGCTTCAATGGTAACTTCCCAGAAAACGAGACGTATTTACCGTTCGGGCTGAGCTTGTTTGACGGTAACCGACAACTGACTTTCTGGGCCGACAGATGGGAGGCTGCCTTATAAACCGGCCGAGTAAAATGGGGCTTGCAAAGCGGGGGAAGCTGTGGGAAGACAAACGAAGCCTGATGCGGACTAGCCCGCGATGCCTTTCAGTTCAGGAATGCGGGAAGCCGCGCTCCTGCGCTGGGCAAACGGCAGGACGGCTTCAGGGATCGGAGCGATGATCTCGATGCGCCTTGAAGGGGCTGCTCGAGGAGCTCCTGATCCGATCCGCTCGCTGCAGGACTCACAGTTGCCCACCAGGGGGAGCAAAACGGGGGAAGCCACTATGGGGAGCAGGGGGGGGAGTCGCCGCCGCGGAATGAATGGGGGGGGGGAGACGGCCCTTGGACTCAGCCGCTCCAGCCCCGCAGAGACCGGCCCTCCTCCGCGCTTCTACTCGCGGCCCGCCGGGGAGGCAACGGCGCGGGCAGGACGCCGGCCGCCTCCGCTCGATCCGGGCTCGCCCGAAAAGACCCGAAGCGCCGCCATGTCCCCTCGGCCACCCTCCCCCCTCGCATCCGGGCCTCCTACCCAGCAGGCCTCGCGAAGGCCAGCTGCGTCAATCCGGGGGGGAGGGGTGGCGCGCAGAGAGTCTCGCGAGAGAGGCGGACGGGGCTCCCGCGCCTTGGGACAGCCAGTCTGGAAGCGCGCGGAGGGAAGTCCCGCCTCTCCGGGCGGAAGCGGGCATTGTTGTGGCTGACGTCACTGGCGGAGGACGCGGGCGTCCCGTTGGGTCGCACTCCTGGTGGCGGCGCGGCGGAGGCGGCGGAGGGCCGGCGGGCCCATGGCCAGCGCTGGAAGCCCCCTGGTAGGCCTCGCGGCAGGGCCGGCCGCCCCTCGCGCGCGGGAGCGACAGGCGGCGCCGGCTGCCGGGTCGGTGTGGCGGCGGCAGGGCCGGCGGCTGTTCCGCAGGCCCCGCCCGGGATGCGCGGAGCCAAGGGCCGGCCGGCGGAGGAGCTCCTTCCGCCAGGATGGGTCGAGGTGGAGGTGCGCGGTGCCCGTCGGCGAGCCTGTGTCCCGGGCGGCGGCGGCGGCGGCGGCGGCGGCGGCCTTGGGCGCGCGGCTCTGCTTGCCCTGCCCGGCGGGTCTGGGCCTGCTGGCCCCCGGCATCGGCCCCGCCTTTGGCCCTCGGCCGCCCGGCCTTGCTCGGCTCCTGGCGGGGCCACGAAGGGACCCGGTTTCGGCGCCTTGCGGGCAGGAAGCGCGGCCTTGACGGCGAAGCGGGAGCCGGGTCGCTTTCCGGGTCTGCTCAGAACGGCTTCGGTCCGTCCCAAGAGTCGCCAGAGCGGCTGCCCGGCTCCGAGTCGAGGTGCGCTGGGTGGGATCAGGGGCTTCATTGGGGGCTTTGACGGCAGGCAAGTCTCGGGTTTGTATTCTCTCTCCTTGCAAAGAAACTGAAAGTCTGGGCTGGAGGGTAAAGCGGTGCTTCGGAGAACAGCCGCCTGCCAAGAGGTCCAAAGAGTCTTTAAGCTCCCCTTCGGCCCAATTGACCCTTACCGGCAGTCCGAACTCAACTCCCAAGTTTAGACTCCTGCGGCATGGAAATGTGGGGAAGCCGCGGCCTCTTTAGGGCTGCTGCTATTCTCATTTCCGATGCTGCTTGCAAGGAACGTCATTGGGGAAGCTGGCCAGAAATCATTCCTGCTCTCCCCCCCCCCCCCTCCATCCTTCTGCTTTCTCTTTGGGTAAGGAAATGACGGCACAACGAGGGTTGATGACCAGAGCCGGTGATCTGGAGTGGTGGGGAAGTGAGGGTTGGGCAAAGGGCACGAGTAAGGAAATGTCTCTGAAATGATGACCCAACAGCCATCACTCCTGAATTTTCATGAGCATTACTTTTAACCTCATTTGGGACAGAAAGCTTTTTGAAATACAGTACACTGGAAACCTTAGGGAGCCAGAAGCCATTGTTTCTGTACTGGCCTTCACTTAGGCATATCATCAGGTGACTGGTGGGGTCAGTGGGCAACAAGGAAAGGTTAACTCTGCTTCTTCTGGCTAGAAAGCAGGGCTTAAGCTTTTTGTCCTTTGATGAGGGCTAGCTCCTTAGTTGCATATATTGTCTTTGGCTGAAAAATTATTCAATCTAGGTATTGTACAATTGGTAGTGCTGTAGTAGATAATAGCATTAATTACAAAACGCAAGTATTTCCTTCAGGTGACAATAGCAACTCTTAGACTTTCCAGAGTTAGACTGTTTCAAAAATCAGAACTTATCATTTTAAGTTCAAGTTTCATTCTTGGTTACTGGAAAGTTTTTGGCAAAAAAGGAATTTTATTAGGGTGTGGGCAGAAGGGTTTACAGCAGCCTGTCAGTATAGAGCAGCTGAAGGCCATCTTTGCAGAAGCTGATGTGTTTTTCCAGTCATGCTTAATGGAAGTAAATAATTTTGACCACTTTGCTCCTGTACAAATGTCATATCAGGTAATCCCGGATGACAAGCCTTCCTTGATGAGTAGACAGCAATTCTCCCAAATAATTGCTTAGTTTTAGCCACTGAAATGCATTCCCTGACCCATCTACTAATAGAGGAAGACATATATCACCCTAGATCATTCTATGTTCCTGTCCCAATGGATACCCTTGGTTCTTAAGCGCCTGAATATATCTAGTTTATATTAGCTAGGCTGACTTGGATGGTAAAGGATGCAACATAAATTTAAAAGTACCACTTCCTGTGCCTTGTGAAATGTTCACTTTAAGAATAAAATAAGGACCTGGCGTTAACATCAACTTACCGTGGTGAAAGGCTGGACCATCTCTTTATCGATAGGAATACTTAATTTGACAATTCATGGCTGAGGTTAGCATCACTAGGAAAGCTGCTTCCAAGAGAGAGTATTGTTTGGAATCTGTTTAATTCCAACGGAGCTCTTGTTGGTGTATGTGAATCTGTATTAAATCTCATGAAAGGAAACAGAGAATGCCAGAGGGGAAATTGCACACATAAAGATGCCTGAAAGAGAGTGACTACCATATGTCCAGAGGGATGAAGCCCAAGGTAATGGCCTGCCTAGACAGGCTTACACTCCCAGGCCCTTGTCCCGTGTGACTTATCCAAGAAGTTCTTGTGCTGCCATAAGATTCCCTCTCCACCGTGGTTCAAACTTTCATCAGGTCAAATGCTCTGTCTTCTTTGTGCCTAGATGTCAAGATGGTCTCTGCCATTGACTCTGGTAGTCCCTGCCGCAGCAAATTGGGTTGTGTTGGCAGGTATTATGGAAGTCTTTGCTCACTTTGATTAATACTGCAAACCAGACACTTCTGGAACAGAATGGGGTGAGGAAACAGTGAGAAGCTTATATTGCATCCCACTCTGGAACCAGGTTGGTTGTCATTTGCTATTGCAAAGGGCCTAAGGAAAGACTTCCCATCTTTCCTGTCTTCCAGGAGATCGCTGGGTATAGAGTCCATTCTTTTAATAAATCACGTTGACAGCTGAACTAATTTGTGTTCAGCAACCATTTTATGCATATTGCTACTATAGAGATTAGAAGCTTTTCTGCAGCTATTAAGAGGTCAGTCTTTGATCTTCTGATCTCTTTCTTGAACCCCTCAACTGTCCACTTGCCAATGGGGTTGAGAAGGACTTGTTTCGCCCTTTTGCCCCATATTTGTTTTAAAGGATGCTGGAGGGCAGCTTTTGAGGCACCTCTTTCCACTTTTCCCCCAGCATTTCCGCATGGCTTGACAATATATTCTTGGAGCCGTTGGTCCGCTCCCCAGCAGGTGAAATCAAGCACCAAAGGAGCGGGAGTATAATGGCAGGTGCATTATTCTCCAGGCCTGAGAATGCTCTGATTTGCCTTAGACCAACAGCTATTTGGACAAGACAACAGTATGTGGGATGCTGCTTCTCCTGGTGGCTAAGGAACTATGGATGGACCTGCTAGATTGGCTCTCATGGAAAATTGCCTCTCTCCCCAACTCTGGGCTATGCTGGAGAGCTAATAACTTCTAAACATGCTCAGGCACCACCAGGCTTATTTTCAGCCCCTTGGACAAAATGCAGAGAAGATTGGAGGTCCACTTGCTTGCCTTGCCTTTTCCTGGGGAAAAGGGGGTGAGGAAAGCTGCTGGACTCTTGCAGAGGCTTCTGCTGTCAGTATGATCTTCGGTTCCAGAGGGGAAGAGGACCTGCCAGAGAGCACCACAGATAGAGCCAACCTGTTCCTCTTCCTGTGTTCTCTTCAGCTGGCTGCCAGCTCCTTATCATGGGGCCACAGTGCCATGTAAAATGTTGCTCCCTCGCTTCTGAGGGGGGTGGGCAGGCACTCTTGTCCCACAAGTCCTTCCCCCTCCCCCAGCCACCCAACAGTGGGTGAGTCTGGTAGGAGCAGAAAACCTAATCCTGCGGAGTTAAACCGGCAAGCCCAGCTCTTCTCAGACCAAGAGAAGAAGGAAAGCCGTCTTTGGAAAGCACCTGCCTGCTTTCCTGTGTTGCAGCCAGCAATGTGGCAGGGTGGGACTGGTTTGCTTTGCATTTCTCAGGTTCCTTTAGGTGGGCTTGCTGCTCCAAAAGAGAAGGCTTTCCATCGTGGTTGAGTCAATGCCTGGGACATTAACGTGGGGACAGTGGCTGTCGGATCTGGTGGCTAACTAGGCTTCAGCTTACTACTTTGGCACAGGATCTAAAAGGAGGAGAGGCTGTTGAGACGAAGCTATCATGTTTCAGCTCATACCTGGCTAATGCATCCAGCTACCTCAATTGGGGAGGGGGCAGGGGGACTTAATTTCCAACCCTTTGGTCATCCTGCTGTGTTACAGAACAGGGTGGATTTCAGTTTAATTCAGAGGGTTCTCCTATTAACTATACCTCTTTTGATGTAGCCTAAGTTAGGCGAATCTGCTTATCCCTTGGCACCACCTCAGATGCCTCTCTGCGTTTTCTCCAAGGTCTGCCCGCATGATGCAGCCTTTTTTTCATTCTTGGCCCACTGCTGAAACGGCTTGAGCGTTTATCTGATCCAAGTTAAAGTGGTGTTTTCCATCTTCTCCTGTGCACGGGGCCTGTGGTGCTCGGGTAGCAAATGGGAAGGTGCATCCAGGGGCTGCGACCTACACAGCTCTTCTTGGCTGTAGCATAAATGCAAAGCACATTTCAGTCTTGGTAACTGCCTTTGGGAAAAAAGGGGCCTCTGTGTACAGTTATGCCTTTCTTTCCCATGTTTTAAACTCATGAATTGGAATAAGGTTTTCTCTGTTTCCTGCAGCCTTTGGTTGCAATTCTGATGGTGGAGGTAAGGAATTGGACTGTGAGAAGGGGGCACACGAGCACTGAGAAAGGAAAATAATTGCAGTCCATCTGGGGACTGTGTATGTGGTGAGGGTGAGTGGAGAATTCCTGGTAAAACAGGAGAAACCGAGGTCCCCTTTCACCCTGCAATTCTGGTTCTGACAAGTCTAAGCATTTGTCAAAACTTGCTCCTGGTCCATCCCATATTAGGGAGAACAGTTGGTGTACTGTGGAATCTTTTGTGCCTCTTGAGTAGGTTGTTTGCTACCGGACATTTTGTTACCCAACTAGGTAACATTATCCTTTCTAGTGAGTCTGGGGTTTGCTTCCTGTTTATATATAGTCCCTTGTCCTGCCGGTGTTGGTGATGTGTTTTTTCTCCTTACTGGTTTCTTAATTAGGGTCAGTATTACGCTTGATTGTTTGTGTGGTGTTAATCACTGCTTTGTCTGGGTGTAGACTACTGGAGAGGATGTGTTCTGGCCTTTTTGTTTCCTTCTTAGCTTTTTTAATTACCTCTTTTGAATGTTGTGTAAATATGATTTATCTCTGTGTTAAGGGCTGATGTGTC